GAGCTTTTGCGAAAGCGTTATCAATCCGAACTTGATATAGAGTTGGAAATTTGCTTTTAAAAGTAGGCTTGTGATGGTCTCCTTGGACCTCACTTTGAGAACGAGAATAAATAGGAGTCATGTAAGAACCAGAAGCCATTTTTATAAACAACTTTCTTTATTAGGTTATCTATCCAAATAGAATCAAAGACTTATTAACAAATATATCTAACTAGTATTATGAGGTTTTAAAGGTAATATCCTTTAAATTAACTTAATTAATGATCCAATTAATTAACAATTGAATAACGATCACGCAGAGATTACCACAATAAGAGATCCCAGAATTGTATTCTATGTTCTTATTGAACATTTAATTTTAATTTCATTCGCAATAATAAGACTAATATTTACCTCACTGCAATTCAGCTCAGCTCAGCTTTTATCTGATATTAAATCTTCCAACAAGAAATCTTCAATTTAACTTCACTTTAACTTTCTGCTTCTATCTCCTACTGCTCTAACTTTACTATTCCGTTTGACTTAAATACTTTATCTAATCTGCATAACAAGGAATCCTGTCCGCTTTTTGGAGTTGATTGGAAATAGGTAGGGAATTAAATTTCCCTAAAAAGGACGACTCAGAAGGTTAGTGATAAAGTTCCGTATAGATTTGTCACAGGCCCAGTCTATTTATATAACGGGCTTCATAAACTTCAGAGAAAATTCAGCACAAATTTTCATTTAAAATCGTTATACTTCAACACATGTAACAGCTTCCCCAAGGTATCAAAAGTTTTAATTTCCTCAGAAGCTTTTTCAACTGAAATAGAGTTCTCTCTTAACCTTTGTAAGTAAAATTTCAATAGAAATAAAATTATGGAACCACTTTTAACTAATATAATTCTTTCCCAGACATGATATGGATTAAATTTAACTTGTTTTAAATAGAAATCTCATAAAATTAGTCACAGCTATATAAAAACAAAGCACTCTAAAAGGCAATAATATAGCAATATGATATATCTAAGCATATATATCTCAGAAATTAGAAACAATTTCACTTTTTCGTGAATGTTTTCTCTCAAACATATGGTTGTTTAAATTTGTTAAAAAATATCCCAACAAAAATTTAGTTTATCTGTGCCATTGCTTTTTACACCTAAACAATTATTGTTATCCTCTTGTCTACAGAAACTGCAGCTGTATTTTCGACATATCCTACACTTAACATAAAAGAAATCTTAGATCAGTCTCAGATTTTTTTATGAATATGCACTTTATTTTCTTTCGAAAGAAAAAAAACCCAAATTTACATTATAAGTGAAACCGCAATCAATACTCTGAAAAACCACATTCCCATCGACAGGTGTTAAACTTTCTCTCTCTCTCTCTCTCTCTCTTTGACTTTGCTTCATTTCAATTTAATTTTCAAATACAAAACTCTTCAAAACCTGACGGTTTCTACAACTTTAAAACACTACTTTCTGTCATCGATTTTTTTGTCTTTCTTTTTTGTTCTAACAAGTTGATTCATCGCAAGCTAACTCTGTAGCTATCTGCAGTTCCAATCTTGAACTAGCAAGTGCATCTGTCAGCATCCGGTAAGGAAGTGGGCGTACGAAAAAATAAATGAGATCTCAAACAACGGACTTCTGCACAAGCTGAGATAGTTATTACTCGTGTGATTGTTGCAAAGGTTTGCTTTTTGTTTCGTTTGCTGGTCCATTAGACTCAAACTTAGCAGGAGGTGAGACAGCATGGAATTAAATGGAAAGCACCATTATTAGAGAGATCTAATCTTTTACAAAATTGATTTTACTTCCTTTCACTATGTTCTTTCTTTTAGTGCAGTAAGATATCAAGCAAATGTAACAAATAGCAAGATAAATCATGTAAGGCAGTGAAATTTTTTAAAAGTGATTGAAATGTGTTAAATAGAAAACATCTTGCTCGGAATAGTTGTATGCTAATAATGGAAATTACGGAATATTGAAGTAATAAACTGAAAAAATATTTTCTCGCATATAATTTGGTTATCTTCTTGAAACATTTAATTTAATTATAATAGGAGATTGCAAAAAACACTTAAAAAATGAACAAATTTTTAATTGTGCGTTCAAATTTTCTTTTTCAGTGAAATTTTGGCATATATTTTAAGCAATTCAAAAGATACTACAATTTTGCTGTTTTATCAGTCTGGTAATTGAATAATTCTTCTTAGTTCCGAGAGGGGAAACTGAATTAATGTTTGAAAAATATTATTCATGTAACTATAATATGCTTTCAAAAGTTATGTATTATTCTATTATTTCCAATAAAATTGTCTGTTACAAATAGCAAGAATAACTGTAATTGATTGATGAAGCTGATCGAATAACATTAAAAAAAAACGAATTTTTGTACAAAAATTGAATAATGAGATGAACTCTAAATGCACATATGCAATTCTTAGGAATTTAATATGAAAATTGGCGTTACATTTGTAATATCTAGAAATAGTTTTATGGATGCTTAAAATAATTGCTTGAGACTTTTTTTAAAAGTAGTACAAAAACAGAAGAAAGAGCCCTAACAAACTTGATAAATTATGCATTTTTTATCCATTTTCAATCTTATAAGGAAATTAACTGTTGTGAGAAGTGATAAAAAAAGATCCAATTTAGTTCAAAACGAATTTCTGAAGGATTTTGTAGAGGCACAGTAAATTTTTGTACAAAGGCGTAATCTTGCAGAATTTTGTTCTCAAAAATAAATTTTAAGCATTGTGTTATCAACAGAGAAAATAAAAATGTTGGAAAAGAGAGAAAGTATATGTGTTCTCTATTCAATTCAATTGACAAAAATTATAATTCTGCATGGATATCTTTGAATAATGAAATAAAAACTTTAAAAATGTACAGAATCTGTGTTCATTTAAAAAGAAAAGGCTCTTCCTACAAAAATAAAATCTTCAGTATGATTAAAAATTTATTTTTGAGGAAACAAACGGATTCATATCTACCGCAAGAAATTTCTCAATATTCCCGACAAATCATTCCCATTTCCTAAATTTGACACTTGCATTATGAGGATTCAATACTTGATACTCAAAAACAACGAATTTCAGAACTATTAACTAACATCTCAACCAATCACGTCATCTCGAACTTTCAAAGTTAAATCTCTCTAAAATCCATTTGGCAAGCGAATAAATTCCTTCTCTACAATTGCACGAAAGAGTTTTCTCAATCGTCTCAAATATTACCCCTCGTTTAAAACTTTTCCCGCTGAAGCCGACTTGAGTTTGAATTTAAATTCCGGCAGCGGTTACCTCGCTAAGTGTATATTCCTGTAATGTGTCAAATCAACTGTCGAAGCAAGGGGGAAGTTGGCACACGTCAAATATTGAAGCATTTTGGATTCCGAGGTTAACTCGGAAGTTAGTCGGATTGGTATCGCGTAAGTTTTCTGAAGTCTCTTGTTTAAAGGTTTGGTTTTTAACGAATCGGGGGTCGTTGAAATATTGAATTTAGCAAATTTCGAGTTTGCAAAGTGTTGTTATATATTGCACAGTAGAAATATTCAATTACATTAAACTATGCAGTGACTGTAAGGGAATATGATTTCATAAGGCGTAATTAAACTGCTGAAAAACAACTATAAGCTGCTATTACAAGTTTTTGCATGGTTTTTAAGATATATATTTACAGTACGTTTCAATGTGTATTTGTTGAGTTAAATAAACTAGAATATTATGAAAAAAAAAGGGATAAATGAAAATAGTCCTGAAACAAAATTTCTATGCTTGTTTCTATTCTGCCCCCTTTTTTTTTTAAAGAAAAATATTTTCTCATAATAGTGTAAAAGACTTCTGTACGAAAGTTTTGCTTAATTAAAGAGTTTTTATCTTAGTCCACTTTCTTAGTTCGTTTTTCTCGAGTTTTTTATTGTATAACTGCAGCTTAAACATAAAATTTTAAAAGAAAAATCTAATTTATTCGTGTTTCTAAAAAAAAAAAGATTTTGGAACTCTTACATTCTTAAAATTGAAATTTTTAAAAAAAATTTGAAAATGATTAAAGACGTTCTATAATGCATCATTATTCCTTAAATGTACATTTTATACGGTTTTGTAAAGTTCAGGGTAAAAGACCAATGCATTAGAATATATATATATTTCACGCGCATGTTTAATTAAAGCCTTACATTAAAAATATTATAACTCTCTCTACCGCTTCATAATTCATATTCTATTTTTAAAAAGTACATAATTTTAGTTTTACAGATATGTTGAAATTAATTATCAAATAATAATATTATATTAATTTGTGAAAAATAAAGTTAAATAAATATGCCAAATTTATTTCATTTCGAGTATGTTAAAAAAACAACAGAAATTTATGATGAGGAAAATTTCGGTAATTTAACAATTTTTCTACAAGTAATTAAAAGCTGAAAATCTTAAAAAATCGATTAATTGCAAGAGATTTTAAAACTTGTGAGTGCAAAGTTTTGCAACTTCATTTATGTGCTTCAATGGGTTGTTAAAAAGACATTTTTATTTTTTGTTTGCAGTTAAATGGTGTAATTCAAATTTGCGTTTATGTAAATGTTTGCACTTTTTTGCCACACATATATAAAAATATATTTAAAATGCTTTTAAAAATCGAATTCTTAAATTATAATTTTCATTAAAAATAACTATCCATTTTTATTTATTTTTTACTATGCTTATTTAAAAGAAAGTAATATAAAAAATATTTTAATTCTATTCCTACTTAGGTAAAAAATAAAAAAAAATTTATTTCAGTTTCTCTTTATTAAATAATTACAATTAATATAAATATGTATATACATATGGCAGAATCACAATACTAAATGGCAAAATCGAAAGCCATTTTCCTTGCAATTATCCATTTTCCTTTCTATATAGGGTGAAGGACTATTATTTTTGTTTGGTGCAATTTATTCATTCATTAAAGTTAACTATCCCAATAAAATAGTATAGTAAAAAGGAATCGCATTCTCAGAAATTAAGCCATCCTAGGAGGGATTCGAACCTCCACCCTTTGGATTAGAAATCCAACGCGCTATCCGATGCACTTCAAGGACACAACGAGCAATTTTCCTTTATTTATATAAAGTTGAACTATTATTTTTATTTGTTATTATTTATTCCATAGTTAAATTAAATCAAGCAGTAGCTCACACAGGAATTTTTCAAGGGGAAGATCCGGGGTCGAAACTTCACCATTCTAGTATCATGTTCCTTTTGATTTTGTTGATTTTCGGGAACGAAACACAGTAAAATACTAATTTTTGAATAAATAATTAGCATTAATTAATAAAATTAACCATTAATAACAAGTAATTAATTAAATTTTACGTACTATATACTTAGAATTATAATCAATCGGAAAAAAAAATCAAGGGCTTTGGGGGGGACGCCCCCCTTGTGTGCGCCACTGCAAGGAACTAATACTTTATAAAATTGTATTAACATCAAATGTCATCTACTACTAGTTTTAAAAAAATGCATTTGAACTTAAATGGATGAATAGAAAGTATTTTATTAACGATTAAAAATTCGAACAAGATATATAAATTTAAATAAATATAAATAGGGAGAGAGTCTGAAATAATAGTAGAGGGAAACTGAATAAAAAAACAATTACGAAAAAAATGTTAGCAAAAAATATTAGTAGTAATTTTAAAATATTAAAAAAAGGAGTAAAAAAATTACTGTTAAATTGTTAACTCATAAAAATCTATTAAAGGAGGATATTTTTCAAAGTATGTATACAAGCGTGTACATAATCATTCGACTATGTTAACTAACTAGATCACGTGATTCTTCAAATTACCTGAAAGAATATACAGTAATTTGATACTGATACTTATGTAATCTTTTTTATTTTTATGAATGACTTAAGAGAACGAGGACATCCTACATATTCAAAAAATCGATTTTTTAATTTTAATATTAAGTAATAGTGCATATTTTTCTGATTCTAAAAATGCATAACACTTTTATATTCGCAGATAAAATAACCTTAAAATATAAAAAAAAGTAATTGACAAAAAAGTAAACAAAAGGTTACAAATGCTTAGTTTCTTCCCTTTTTCTCCAAAGCATAATTTTTTGCTTTTAGGGGCACTTTTTAAAACATATTTGTTCTATATGGTTCCAAATTTTTCATACTTCTATACAGGATACCTGTGCAGTGGCGCACACAAGGGGCGGGGGGAGGGGTCCTGGGGGTCCGTATCCCCCTCCCTCCAAAGCCCTTGATATATTTTTCCGACTGATCATAGTTTTAAGTATATAGTATATAAAATTTAATTAAGTATTTGTTATTAATTATTAATTTATTAATTAATGCTAATTATTTGTTCAATAATTAGTTTTTTACTGTGTTTTGTTCCCGAAAATCGACAAAATCAAAAGGAGCATGATACAAGAATGGTAAACTTTCGACCCCGGACCCCCCCTTGAAAAATTCCTGTGTGCGCTACTGTATCTGTGCATATAGTGAAACTATTTTTTTTTAGTCGAAGTAGTACGTAGTTTTTAAAAAAAATAGTTTTATGTATGAAAAAGGGGGAGGGGAAAAAAACGTTTCAAAATTACAAAATTTTACAATTTTTTTAAAGAAACTATCTTAATATTTTACTAATAAACTATGTTCACTATATTTTGTGTATTGTTTGATATATACATGCAAAAAATATTTTACATACATAAGGGATACCTTTTTTAATAAACGGTACCTAACCATAAGCATGTATTATGAGATCTCAAAAATTATGTCCAACTTAAATTAAACAGAAAAAAAAATGTTTAACTAAAACATTATTTTTGTGTTTCTACAGAATGATTAAAATATGTTTTTGAGATCCTCCCAAAATCTAACCTCAATTGGAAATTTTTAAAAATATATGTCCCATATAAGCAAAGTCTTAATTTTGGGGTATTTTACTCTTTCGAGGATGTCCTGGTACCCTTAGAAATTTGTTCATAAGGCTTAAAAGAGATCCGCATTAGTTAAAATAAAAAATTTTGTAGAGAAATTTACGTTTAAAATCATTTTGTCATCAAATATCAATTTATTTCATGCATTACAGATTCGTTTTCTTTACGTTTCTTAGTATCAGATCTAAAAGGTAAATAATGTGAAATGTGAGAAATACCCCTTATAGTGTTTTTTAATGTTTCCCTCGCGATTTGAAAAGTGATCGACGTTCTAAGTTCCCCCGACTCTTGTAAGCTGTCAAATCAGCCACGCGTGAAAGGTAGCAACTGCAATCAGAGAAAGAATTGAAATGAGGCCGCTGAAAAGTTTATTGACTCGATATATATACTTGCTCCCCCCTGTTTTTTTAATTCCAAAAACCACCTTCTTTAAATCTATGTTGTCGTTTCTTTCGTCGCCTTGTTACTGAATAAATAATTACTTGGCCTTAATTAATGTTTATTCTTTTTCGAACTTTTATTTGGATTGTGAAGGAATCCAGTTTCAAAAAGTCGTTTGAAAGTACTAAAAAAAGTTTTAAAATCTTTGTTTTTAATTTTATTCTTCAGTATAAGCAAATTATGTCTTTTTGAAAAAAAGGGAAAAAAAAGGAATTTGGTTTTCATTGTATTTATTAGTAAGGTATTTTGTTAAAATATGAATAATTATCGCTCTAAAAAGCAGAGTTCTTCAAACTTTTTCTACTCATGGAACTATATACTACTACTTTCTACTTGGGGAACCCAATTCCACACACTTTTGGAGGAGTATATCTTAACTAATACTTAGAGTAGATTGATATGTTATAGATACTTTAAATAAAGACAATTTTTTTAAAAAAAGTTTTGCATTTACTATAAAAAATTTTTAGTATAATTTATTTATGAGTGATGTTTATTTATGATACAAGTATCATCAACCCATGCATTATATTTAGTAACTGGGATATGTACTTTTTTTTCCCTTCGAAGTCAATCGAAACCATCTGCAGTCGCATTTCATATTCTGCGTTTAATTTACTTTAACACTTTGGTTTTACAACCAGACATGTTGAGAGATATTTTTCGTTTAAATACATTGTTCTGAATAGTATTAAAAAGTTTATAGCTGAGTGGGAAATCCTGTGTATTTTCAAGAATTTGCAACTTTATAAACTAAGGAATTATTCTTGCCTAAATTTAGATGTGTCGATAAGTTGTTCCCTCTCCTTCACTATAAGTATTTATTTGCAGAAGTGAAAAAAAAGGTGCATTTTCCCTAAAAAAACCAATTTAGTTTTGCAGAACATTGTACTAACAAGTAAACAATTTCGTATTTCGTACTGTTCAGGACTCGACGGATATTAAACAATGACGTGGACGACACCTGAGCTGGCACAATATTCACACAGATCTATCGTTGGTAGTACTCAAAGCCAGCCACGATCCGATGCCTAAAACCCGGCCACAAACAATTTCGGGTATATCTGAAACCCCTGTGGGAACGCAGTTTGAAGACCTGTGCTCTCAAGCAGTGAGTAGAATTCCAAATTTAATAACAATATAAAAAGAAAAATTGCATTTTGTCGAAAAAATTGTACTCTGTTTTCTGAAAAAAAAAAGAACTATGATTTCATTAACTTATTAATTTATTACAAAGCTGTGAACATTATTTAAATTCAAAAACAGTTTTATATATTATGACATGTTTTCAAAATGAGAGGTTTTATTTCTTTATTGGTTTGATTTTTTTATGATATTAATTGATTAAATCATGGTAAGAAATTCACCCTAAATTTGAAATGGACGTTTATAATGATAAAGCATTTTACATTGCTTATTAATGGCCTTTAGGATACAACTCATTTACCTATTCCAAGCATATTATTAGGGTAAAATATTATTTTCAGAATTAGGCTTCAAAGACTGTAGTTTTAAAGAAATTTATGAGCTAGATCCTTTTTTTAAAGCTTTAATATAAACTGATTCGCACACACAGTGTAATATTAAATAAAACGAGGGGTGTTTGTAACTGGGCACCAGACTTGCAATGACTACTAATATTTTTAAAGGGTTTTTTCTTAATATTCTTGTCAGACCTTTTCATTATAAGAAAAATACAACTCAACTTCTGAATAATTAAAAACGTGAAGTGACCTGTGGGAAATTTTTGAAAGTTCAGAAAATTGTTGGAGGTGCGTCGTATCATTTAAATGAGTTATTTAATGAAAAGAGGCCTTTTATTCAGTGCAAATCATTAATTTTCAGAATTGGAACATGTGTTGAATATATTTATATTATTTGTGTTATCGATTATATAAAACAAGTTAAATAACTTTAAAAAGAAGCATTATAATCGATAATACTTCATTCACATTATGTTGAAGTAATAGATAATACGACAATGTGCAGGCTGATAACATTGCCAAGGAGGTTCAAAATTCTCCTTAACTTTCCAATAGCCTTACCTTTACCAATGCTGATGCAATAGCCCAGACGTAAACTCACCTCCTATCCAGTTAAGACGCACTTCATTCCTGAACTTAATTGCAACCACGTAATTTCAACTACCATATAGCCAGACTACGTACTAACACTTTAAAGGGATAAAAGCATCCTCTGATGGCCAAAGAAGTTACAATACTTGACCTTCAATTTTCTCCTAATCATATTTTTAATTGTCCTTCTATCTTGGCTAAACTCCTCAACGTACACCTAAATCCCTGGACTATCAACTGTTTTATTTGCCATACATCTGTGATATTGTAAGGGCCGTTTTGGAAGCCTTCGGGGCCATTTTATTTCTCTGCTCTACTTGGTAAAGTCAACAGCAACGACAATAGATAATATCTGCATTTGTTTGCTTATTAAACGCTTTCAGCCTCCCCAGAGGGAGGCACTCACTCTCTCTCTCTCTGTTGCCTATTTTTCCCCAAAGACTTATGTTCGGTATCGACAAAAAATAGGTCTTGTAAGTCATGAATGAAAAATGATCGGATGACGATGTCGACATTTGAGTTAGCATCTCATTCTTCCCACCCGTAAATACATGTGTATGCGTGTGAAGAAATTATTCAGAATAAGTAACTTTTTTTTTATTACGATTTTTTTTTTATTGAAA